CACCAGCTTATCTAATTGGATAACGATTTTGAAAAAATATTTTCTTAAATAAAAGTAGATGAAAAAGTAAATTGTCTGGGTCCGAGGGACCTCAGGCACGCAAGGGTTAAGTCTTCATTACAATTCAAATATTTCATAAACACTGATTTTAATTTGCAATAATTAAAAAGAAACTTTCAATCAAGAAAAAACTAACACAAACATAACCTCAAAGTGATTTGCTTCTAAGGTCCCTTTCTTCAGATCGCGTCATATATAATTTCAAATATCGAAAGTATAAACCATATTTAATTGAAAGTGTCATACAATTCAAGACAACATATATTTTATGCGGTTTAAATATATATAAAGGAAGTTCTGAGTGATTTATAATGTGTACAAAAGTATTTGAATATCGTCGCTTGAAAGTGTATACGTGTGAACTTGTGAGAGTGTTTTACATATGTTTGCACCTTCATGAATTTATTTTGCTTTCGAAGTAGATCATATCTATTCTATATCATCTCGAGTGTACAAACTGCATAAAGGACCAAAATATAAATGATGTAAAGAAATGAGGGAAGAAATTAAAAAAAAAAAAAAATTGTGAGTGAATAGCCTCAAGATATATAGAGGTTTTTGTGGCTCAGTTTTTAAGAAGGATAATTTACGAAGCGACTTTTTATTCATAAAAACAAATAGACCCTACTCAGGAAATTTGAAAAATTTAACAAACTTTATTTCTTTTATAAAATTTCATTTTTCTACAAAAAAAAGGTAATTTTTTTTTTAAATTAACGTTGCCTATTGTAATATTTAAAAATTTTAATATTTTAAATAACTTGGCGAATTGTTTCTTATTGTAAAAAGTGATTTTATTACAGTATAATTAATACATAATTTCATGAATGTAAGAGATAATATTTTTAAAAAATATTCTTCTGCAATATAAAAATATTTTTTTTAATTTGTTAAATTTGAAATAAACTTCTCATTATATTTATGAAACATATTATATATCGTTAAGGTACTTTAGACGTATGTGTTTTTCAAATTATTTATTTTTTGAAATTCAGGAAGTAATGTATAATATACATTTACAATTCATAAAAAATAAGAATTTCCTGTTGTTTTCAAATTTTCCACTTTATTCATATATGGTATGTAGGTATATACAATTGTATTTGTGGAATAAAGCGGAAAAACAGGCTCTATGACTGTTTTATTTCGCAAAAAAGCGGCAATTAAGTTCTCTCATATTTAAACTTACAATTTACGGTTTATTCTCATAATTCTCTTGAGAGAAATTCTAGGCAAATTTTGTTCTTTATGTTTCTTTTATAATTCTATATCGTTATTATCCCAAATGTATTTAACGTTCTATATCAGTGGTTTTAATGAAAATTATGTATTATGAAATATGTTTTCATTTTAAAGAATTTTATTATGATCCTTTTTAATTTAAAAACGATTTAATTACAAGTAATTTTATACTTTGAGTAATTTAATATTGAAGAATTTTTTTTTTATTTTTTAAATCTTTAGAATAATTGATTATGAAGAATAAAACTAAAATTTTAAAATGATTTTGATTCTCTTTATATATCTGTAATAATTAAATTCACTTTTTTTTAACGCACTACATATATATAGTAGAAGCCCCTCTTAAGAATATGTTTATAACGACTAAGGATTTGCTGATAACCATAGGATCGATAATCCTTGAATTTCCAATACAATATTTTTCTAGTTCTGACCCATCCGAGTGATCGAGTCCCTTGAATTTCTCGAGCCCAATACTTTTTTTCCTATTTTTCCTGCAGAAATAGATACAGACTTTCTTTCTCTCTCTCTCTCTCTTTTTCCTCTTTCTCTTTTGCTCTCTCGAATCTCATCGGTCCAGTACCAGAGGAACGACAACTTTTCCAATTTCCTCGAGCCCGACTCGGCGCGCAAGATTCTATAGACAAACTCAAACCTTTTCCCTCTGCTGCCTAAAGCCTTGCCCCCTTTAACATGGAGGAATCTATCCTTAGATCGTAGATCGCAGACCACTTATGTGCCAAGAGTTTCTCCTCAAAACGGCTTTCCAACAGGAAAATTTCACTTTGGAAAAATTTATTGCAATGCAAGATGATATATATTTATCTATAAAGTTTGGTTTATAAAAATAGTGGTATAAAAATATTACGGCTGAAGGAATTTTTGTAAAATGAATTTTAATTTTGTGCAAAGATCCTGTATATTATAAAAGCATAAATTTTGTTAAAAGTAATTTAGCCTAAATTTAGTTTAATGAAGTGAATTTTAGAATTATTGAGTAAAAGCTACTCTCTGAGAGCAATAGCGATATTTGAAGAATTTTCCGGTCAGAGTTTCCGACTCCTCTTTCTTGGTAACTTCTTGATTTATGAGCAGTGACGGAAGCTTTTAACTTTTATAGAAGACAGGAGCTGATATGAATTTCTGTCAGATTAGATTTTAATATTCCTCAATTTGAACGTTATAAAAATACGATTATCTGCTCGAAAATAGTAATTAACTATTTTATTCTGATTTAAAAAATTTTTTTTTCGAATAAAAAAATGGTGCTAAAGAAAGTGTAAAAAACATGATATTGTTGTTTTAAGGAAAGATAAAGGTTGAATATTGTAACAAAGATATATTATGTAATACAACCATTTGAAATAGAATTTACAATTAGGTGTACAAATAAGAACGAATTTATATTTTATGTATAGGATGTACATTTATTGGTAATTCTCGCAGTTTCTTTTCCGAGTTCAAGTGTGCTGTTTCTCGCGTTCATTCGAATTTACGATTGTGCCATTAAACGCTTTATAGTCCATATCAATTTTCGGATTCCATCGCAGATTAAACTGCGCAGGGATCTGTAAAACGACGAGTGATTAATGATACAAAAAGGTAAACAGTGCGTGTTCACTAAAACGCATTGTACTGGTGAAAATTTGGTATGCCACCATGTGACAATGACAAATTTTTATACCTCTCGATCTTTAATCATTAGAATTCATTGTATTCCCTTCACTCTTCTTCAGTGTTAACACGCAATTTGATCATCAACGTTTTATTTATCCACTGTGCGTAATTTCTTTTCTTTTTGCAATTATTTTATGTTTTTACAATTTTATTTATGAACGTTTAGAAATAAAGAAAAGTGGTTTGTAATTTATAGACTTTATGACAAAATGAATTGTTATTTGTAATTACTACATTATTATTCTTTATTGATCCTTCTTTGAAAATGGAGCATTTATTATTAATTAATTAATTAATTTTAAAAAAAATTGTCTTGTTTCACTTTAGCAATTATTGATAATCTTTTATGGAACGAATGAATATTCCCCACATTAGACCTATCGTAATTTTTGTAGTGTCGAATTAAAAATTGTATCATAAAATTTTTAATTGGCGAATTTTTATATAATCAAAATACGACTTCATGATGATAATTTTAGTAATAATTTAGAATGTGATGTTCTGCGTAGTAGTTGGTAATAATTGTTTTTTCTGTATATAATTTTTTATAGTTCATTTTATTACAATTTTTATTTATTTCTATGTACCTATTTCTTAAATTTGTCGCTTTTTTATGTTACTTTTGAATAACATTTTCTTGTTAATTTTCGTTTTTCATTTAATTTTGTATCTTTGGTTGTAATTTTGTTTAATTTTTTTGTCATCAGACTCCCTGAAAAGGAAATCATTTGATTTTGAAACTTTGGAAAATAATATTTTTTAAAATCTGTTTTGTTCCAATGTCATCGTCTTTATTATTATAACCTGTTTTTTATATTTTACTCGTTAAAGTGTTTGATGACTATTAATATTATTAATTCTGTTAAATGGAAATCGTTGTCATGATTGTTAAAGAAAAATTTGCAAATGCAGATGCTCGTCGGACCTGGGTTGAAAAGCTAGTTTAAGATCGACACCATTTTTAGTCGGTTTCTACGCCAGGTTTTCGCGATTCGACGAGATGTTACGCATGGTGAAACCATTTTATGCAGTAAGATTGCTTTCGAGGTTAAACCTCTTCGTATGTGGTAAAACCACTTTTTCCTCCATTTGCGCTTGTAGTAAAATTATTTTGAGGAGTGTGTCCTGCTGCGGTATGACCGCTTCGAGCAACTTCAAGGAGTGACGATTCTCGGTGGGTGCGCGACTCTTAAAGACGATCGGTTTGGTGAAACGCATGCGCGGTATTCGGTGGGGACCGCTACTGCAGCGCGCGTGTCGTTAATGAGTACTACATGGATTTTTGATTCATCGGTAATCTCTATATTTAACCGAACTTTCACTTGTCCGAATTGTCATTTGATAGAACTGTTAAAACAATTTTTTTAATAAAAATTTTATTAGATAGAAATTCCGCTATAAATGGAAATTGTATATTATTTGAAAATTCGATTTATCAGAAATTCTATTAAATCAGAATTTATAGTTAAATTGAAATTCTTCGATATGAAAATTAAACTCATTATAAAATCCATTTTATAAAATTCGATAATTCAATATAGTAGATACACAATAAATTGTGGGGTATTATTTTAATACCAAATTGGATTAAAATATAAGATGCAACGCTTTAATTCATTGAAAATTAAAATAATCTATTCAAGGATTAAAATTGTAAACTTTCAAAAAAGATAAACTTAGAAATGTTTATTTTTACCACATTGAAAAAAAAATTAGAAAAAATATACATATCCAAAAAATGGATTATATTAATCTTTTATGGTATTAATATTTAATCTGCAATACTTGTTAATATCTCACATTGTTTGCTGTGAGTATGACTATGATATGCATATGTTTTTGTGTGACAATTATTACTTTTTTTAGCATATTTCATAAAGTTACTGTAATTGAATAATTAGGTGATAAAAATGTATTGTTATTTTCAAATATTCTTTTAACTTTGTATCAAACAAGATTATAAACGAACTGATGTTCGTTAATTGCAAGATCATGTTAAAGGATCACCTTCTCTATTGTAGGAACCGTGCAAGGGCTGATGTGTTATCAGTGCGGTCAGTATAATGATGGAGTAGGAAGCATTACACCCTGCATCAATTACACAGCTCACATGCACTTAAAGGACTGCCCGCCTTTGTCTAAGTGGTGTATTGTAAGTAAATTACAAATTATTATATGAATATATATGTTTGAAATCGATATTTAATACATATTGAATTTTTAATATATTTTGATAAATGCAAATTATAAATCCATCAAAAAACAATGAGAATTTGATTAAATAGTATTTAGAGCGCGATAACAGTGCGATAATGATATGATAATTTGGTGATTAAATCCTGAACTATAGAAGCACTGTATAAGTAAGTCGATTGAGAGGAATTCTTTTGGAATAATTAATTGTAAGAAAACTAAAGTTACTTAACCCTGGAGTAAAGTTTCTAACTAAGAATCAACTCATCAGGTTTAAACTTAGTTTTAGAGTGTGCAAATTCCTTGCCTTAAGTAATTTCTTTCTCAAAGAAGATGCTAAAAATTTTCGACAAACAGCTAATAAAAATTTCAGATTTAGAAAAAAAAATTTATTTTTCTCTTGTAATTTTAGGTTTAAAATCTAATTTTTCTAGATGAATATTTCGATTACTTTTACATTTAATTCATATTTTTAATTTCTAAAACTTTCTGGTAATATAATAATTTTAAAATTTTACACATCTTATATATTTGCCTTCATTATTAATTTGAAGCGAATATTCATTAGATATAGAAGTGGGAAAACTTTTAAATTAGGAATGATGAGAATTCGTCGGACGCACGAAATCAGTAAATTTGAAATTTTACTAATCAATTAAAGTTTATAAATTATTATGATGACATTTATTATCTTATAAATCTATCTTGAAAAAAGAAGATTGATATTCACTATTACATTGAAAGTTTTGAGAAACAGCTGAAAATAGATAAATATACATACATATACAAACTTTTGAAACTGTAAAAGTTTTCATTTTAAAACGATTCCTGCATATGTGTGGAGTTTGAGAGTGTTTTACCTTGTGTGAAGTGGGAGCAATATTGCAACAGTTATAGAGGACGTTCCCGAATACACAATATTTCTGCCTAGCTTTCTGTCTTTTTTTTTCTTCTTCTTTTTCTTTATATAAAGAAAAACGGATTGATCTGGACACAGTGTATTTCAAACTAAATCGAAGTTCATTCGACTGGAAGGCACACAAGGCGGGAATCAAATCGGAAATGCTAAGAACTCTGAATTTGGTCGCCAACCTGGCGCCAAAGATGGCTTGACAACTTTCCAAGGAAACATTTTTATTGGTGCATTTATTTACATTTTTGTTTTATATACTAGTATATATGAAAGGCATGAAAGAACATTTTTTTTATTGCACACATGCCTTTTATGAGACTTATTATGACGAATTTCTCATGTCTTGAAATATTCTTATACAGCATTTATTTTTTGAAATTCAATTTTTTTGTTATTTTTGAAATTAATTTAACTTTATATTGATTTAAAATTTTAAAAATTATGTAATAAATTGAATTACTAAAAATATTTTTGTTTTTTTCAAATTTAATTTTGTGGATGCAATTTTAAAAATAGTCAATGTTTATAGTTATATACGTCTCAATATTAAACTATACACATAAATATTTTATGACGTTTTTCTCTTATACATATCTTTTACAATCTTTGTATATAATTGAAGTAGTTATTTTCTTGCTTGTATATATATATAGGAAGTTGAGATTTATGAAAGCGAGCGGAAAAGTTAGAGCAAGTATAAGCTTCCAGAATGTTTAACGACGATTCGAGAGAGTAATAAAATTCTCATTGTCCCTTAAACTGACAGTTACATCAAAATGAAAATAACAATAAAATTTCAAACACACACACACTCGAAGCGAATGTTTCTCGAGAACATTTACTATTAATGCCAAATAAAATTTCATTGTCACAGCAAAGATAACTTTAATAAAATATTTTTATCATTAAATTTTAATTTTAATTGCTTTTTAAATATAAGATAAATAGCAGAAAAATTATCTTCATTTAAAATCACGAAAATAAATTTTTTTTCAATTTAATCCACATTAGGAATTGTAACGTTGAATTTAATTTCTTTATTGATTTTATTTTAAATTTATATTTATTTATTATTATATTTTCAAGACAATCTACATTATCTACACTTTTTAATTATTAATTTTGTCAAGACGCCAAGTTATTTTATGGAAAATAACTAAACCTAAAAATATATTTAAATAACCCGACAAGTAAATTATATAATTATAATTAGGAAAAACTAAAACCAGCTCAGGAATTTTATTATTACTTTATAGCAACAATAGACCGCGGTGAGGGGCGATAAGGATAAACACCATTAATTAGACAAAATTTAAAACAATAACACTATTTATTAATATTCACTTCAAATTTTAGAAAAAGTTAAATAATGGCAGAAGGCCGAAAGACAAGATTTATTTTTTATGTATTCAATTATACTTTAATAATAATGAGACTCTATTCTGAAGGAAACGATTCCTAATTAATTTATTGGGATTCACTGACCATTTGACGACAACGATGACGACTCGTCTAATTTTTATAATTTTAAATTTTAAATATTTTACACGAAAAAGAATAGAAGACAACTTGACTCTTCGAACACTAGGACGAGAATGAGATTAAAATGGCTGACGAGTCAAACTCGAAAGCGTCGCTAAACAGTGGCATCTCTTCTCAGTGTTATTGAGATCAATTAATATAATACCCGCGACCGATTATCGATAAGCAGTCGTCGGTAACGCAGATCCCTACACTATTCGATGTTAAATTGATTGTTCCGATAAGTCCATAGGAAATTGACTGCCAGTATTGATTTGACAGATCGTCAACGAAACAGCAATTTCGTCTTCCTGGTATTCTTAAATATTCGAGATCCAAATATATACACCAAGAAGCTCTTTCCTTGATGACTTCTAATTTCAATGATATATAGTGATGCCCTCAACATCTTTGTGACCCGGCGATAATTCTCAGTGCCTCGCGAGAGTTGTCATAACAGAACGAAAGGGCAAATTAGAATCGAATTTATTTATTACAAGTCGACTATTAATCTGACGACTTTGGCAAAGTTGGTTTGTTAATACATGAATTTATTATTTAAACAAAATGAAGTGAGTATTAAAAGAAAACAATTTTTATAATTTATAACATTTTACAGCTATTATGGCTGGATTCCCACCATGGTGTCATTAATTTACAAAATTTATTATTTTTAAGTCATTTGTACGCGACAAAATGCCGGGTTACAGTGTATACAGATTTTCGAAGATGCTGAATTCGAATTTGACCTTCAAATTAAAAAATTCAAAATGGCGAACATAATTTAAAAACTGTTAAGGAATTTAAATGCAACTTGATTTTTGCATAAATTTAAAAAATATGTCCGCAATTTTGAATTCTATTTTTGAGGTGATATTTGAATTCAACAACCATAAAAACACTTATACCTACATAAAAAGTTTTATAAAATTCCACATAAATTAAAAATAAGTGTCCGCAATTTTGGATTTATCATTTTCAATTTTTTTAAGGTCATATTTGAATTCAGAGATCCCGAAAACCCTTATATATACTAAGTTTCATAAAAATTTGTCGATCAGAATTTGTTGGCCATTTTAGGACTACAGTATCAATTTTTTTTCTAACAGTAAAAGGGTTTAACAAATTTTTTTTTGTAAATTTAATAAATTTTCTTAAAATTAATAAAAACTTTTCTTTGACCCTATATCAAATAAACATTTTTCTGGGTGTATATATGTACCTAAAGAGATATGATATTTCTGGACTATCATCAGTCATTCCAAAAATAAAAGGATTGGGTTAGATATAGGAATGTAGAGTGAAAAATAAATATAGGGGAATCATACGTGACTATTGTAAAACCCATCAAGTGTTCACATTGAATTTATATATACGTAAAATATATAAAAAGTTATCCTAAAAACTATAATTAATAAAATTATTTCTAATAAAAAATATTTTTAAAAAAATAGTTTCTATAATACACGAAAAAAAATTTATCTCGAACAACCAAATGTTTTACTAGAATAGCAAAAGTTTTAATTGTTTCTGTTAGGTAAATCTTTTACTATTCTGGTAAAAACTTTAACTGTTCCAAATGAAGATTTTTTTTCCTTCTAAATTATTAGGAATGCAGTCTAATTCTTGTTGGAAATTAAAAATTTGTAATATTTGACTAATTCATAATTGTGTTTATTATTTTTATTGGTTTTGAATTTGGGAATTTATTAATGAATTCAAGGTTCAATGCTTTGGAGACTTGCATTATTACGTCATCTACTTGAGTTGTTCCTATTGTGCCTAGGGACATCGACGGAATCCACCCTCAAATTAACCACCCTTGCCTGCTTCCTGCCAAGTGCACGATTCGGCTATTAATTAACACTTAACAGTTGGATTAACGTTACATCATACTTGAGACTAACATAGCTGTTAGGTTGAAAATTGTCATAAAACTTTTCCCGCTTGTTTCTTAATATTTTATCACATTCATATATTTATATATGTGTTATATTCTCATTTATTTTGACCTCTTTTTACTTTTATCATTTATTTAAATTTTCCAATTATTTTTAAAGGAATTTCACTCCTCTTTAAAAGATTTAATATAGTATAGTACGTTGACCGGTAAACACGTGTTGCCGTGAGCTCTTGCTTCTATTATTATTTTTGATATCAAACGTCCTAATTTCTTTTGTTTTTAGTATTCTGACATGTTCATTTTCGGCTTGACCTTCGGTTGATTGTTTTTTATGACATTTTTATTCGTCCGATTGCTCTTATTTGTTTTTTTTCTCCCGAAGTGTGGTTTATAACCTATAAATATAAAATGGACGAACACGTGTCAAATACTAAAGTGGCGACTACGAACTATAAATGCCTTGGCTGTAAAGCCCCAGTGGTTAGTCCTATTTTTTGTGCAATTTGCAAATCTGCATTTCATCCGAAATGCACCGGAAAGTCTATTCTTCCAAATGGAGCTTTTTCAAAGTGCTGCAAACAACGGAGCAATTCTCTTAGTCAATCGACACAGGGATCTTCTA